AAAATTAAAAATTTTAATTAATTTTTTTAGTAAGTATTAAAAATGCATACTTGAATTTAATTTGAAATAAATTTAAAACTAGTAAATGTTTTGTAATTATTTGGAATTACAAATATTGGAATTATTAGGAAATGTTTAAAACTACAAATTTAAAACTACCAATTTATTTGGAATTATTTCCCAAGTCCCAAGTTGAGAGTACTCCCAAGTCCCAAGTTGAATTATTCATTCAGAGTAGGTTCTTACTCCCACCAGCCGCACAAAAGCATGTGGAAGCTCACGCACAAATCTGGACCTTACCTTTCCTCCTGCAGAATTCAGCCGACTTGCTGGGATGATGGCCCACTGCACATGTCAACTCTAACTGCGGAGTTAATGCACCGCCCAGATACCCCTCCCCTCAGTTTCCCCTATTGTCAATGAGACCTCTCTATACAAAAAAATGTCTGGGTTGCAGTAGTTTTTGCGGTGAAAACCTCACATTTGGGGTTTTCACCCCCTCGGTTGCAATCAGTCTAAGGCTAACTGCAACCCAAGCCTGTCAATAAATCTAATTCTCCTCCAGTTTATATGTATTCACTCTATCAATTTAGTTTTTTCCTGCAACCCAACACCGTCAATATATCACTCAACACATTTTTTTAATTAAATGCATAGATCCTTAGTTATTTTATTACACATCATTTATGTGCTAATTTTATTTTGATCAATAATTATTGGTTAAAAACTCAAACATTCAGATGTAAAAAAATTAAAAATTTTAATTAATTTTTTTAGTAAGTATTAAAAACGCATACTTGAATTTAATTTGAAATAAATTTAAAACTAGTAAATGTTTTGTAATGATTTGGAATTACAAATATTGGAATTATTTGGAATTGTTTAACACTACAAATTTAAAACTACCAATTTATTTGGAATTATTTCCATTCTCCAAAGCTGCAGCCAAGTTGAGAGTACTCCCAAGTCCCAAGTTGAATTATTCAGAGTAGGTTTTTACTCCCACCAGCCGCACAAAAGCATGTGGAAGCTCACGCACAAATCTGGACCTTACCTTTCCTCCTGCAGAATTCAGCCGACTTGCTGGGATAATGGCCCACTGCGCATGTCAACTCCAACTGCGAAGTCAATGCACCGCCCAGAAACCCCTCCCCTCAGTTTCCCCTATTGTCAATGAGACCTCTCTATACAAAAAAAATGTCGGGGTTGCGGTAGTTTTTGGGGTGAAAACCTCACATTTGGGGTTTTCACCCCCTCGGTTGCAATCAGTCTAATGCATACACGTACGGCTCCATCTCGGTATACTCTCTCATAAGTACAAATCCAATAATTGCTTAATTCCTGTTTGTAAGTCCAAAAAATATATTGTTGTCAAAAAATGTCCAAAAATGTAAAAAAAAATAAAAAATAAAACACAAACAAAAATGAATATAATTACAAGAAAAATCTAAAAAATATAACCAAAACTAAGAAAAGAAGAATATAAAATTCAAACTTGAAAATGCAAACTAAATATTAAAAATTGAAAAGGAATTTAAATATTAAAAATAAATCTTAAAAAGAAAAAATGTATAGCGATTTTAATAATACAGAACTCAGAAATGTGAGAAAGTTGTTAAAATAACATTTTTTTGTAATGTAATTCTGTAGAGTTCATATACTCCGTATATAACGGTTAAATATATAAAAACCAGATTTTTTTAATAAAATTAACAAACAAAAAAACAAAAAGAAAAGTATTTAGGGAAAATGGAAACTAATAATCCAACCTTTTAGCGTTCTTCTTACAATAATCCAACCTTTTGGTTATTCATGAATAATCCAACCTTTGCACCTCATCTTCATTCACTGGTCCCTGACCGGTTGATGACCTGCTATTCAAAACTATTTTCTTATCTTTGCAAATCATTATACCATAAATCTCATCTTTCACAAAGATAATATTTTGCAAAGATAAGAAAATAACTTGGAATAGTAGGTCATTAACCGATCAGGGACCAATGAATGAAGATGAGGTGCAAAGGTTGGATTATTCATGAATAATCAAAAGGTGCGATTATTGAAAGAAGACCGCTAAAAGGTTGGATTATTAGTTTCCATTTTCCCAAGTATTTAAACATATAAAAATGTAAAAATAGACAAAAATTCAAAATTTGACCAAAATATAAATCAAATTTAAAATTGTGCATCTAAAAATTATTAAAAGTAATACATAAATAGTAAAACAAATATGTTTCAAAAAATTACAAAATATGAAAATATTTAGAACTCTTTAATGAAGCAAAAATTAAGAAAACTAAAAAATATTTTTAAAAATGCTAATAAATACAAAAAAATTAAAAATAAAATAAAAGTCAAAAAGTTATCTGAAAAATAAAAAAGAGCAAGAATTACTATAATTATCATTTTGTAGTTATTTTCATTTTTTATTGTTTCTTGTGTTTGTATTTGTTGATTTTTGTTTTTTACTGTTTCATCATGTTTCTTGTTGTTGGTGTTCATTAATTCAAAATAAATCCAAATAAATACAAAAAAATTAAAATGCAAATAAATTGATAAGAATTTTAAAAATAAAAGTCAAAACAATATCTGAAAAATCAAACATAACTAAAATTACTATAATTATCTTTTTGTGTTTTTTTTGTTGACACCTTTGTTTTTTACTGTTTCATCATGTTTTTTGTTGTTGATAACTTTGAATATTTAGTTTTTTGTGTTTCATCATGTTTCTTCTTGTTATATATTTATTTCAAGTAAGCAGCAAAGATAAACATAAACTTAAATAAGCAACCAAAATAAAAATAAACGGTAAACAACCCTAAGCAACAATATGCAACAAAAAAGAACAAAAAGCAACAAAAAGCAACAAAAAAATAACACATAAAATATTACAACAATATACAACAATATATAGTCCAATCTATCATTTCAATTTATTACATCTCTGTAGTACATCATTTGGCTCTGATTTTTCTAATTTCTTCTTTCTTTTATGTTGTATCTCAACACACAATTTATCTCTTTTCTTTATTTTCCTCATCTTTCTTCTCAGCTTTACATCTTCATGTACATCTTTTTAATATGCACCTGTAATGAGAATGCAATCATTAACACACAAATTTAGAATAAATTATTACCATGAATCATTACACATGTGACTGATGCACCACATTATATCTACAACTAGAGGATAAAGAATACGAAAAATATACTATGTATGAAACATAGAATTTGGCATATCACATACCACAACTAATACAAACATGTTCTTACTTTTAATAGCACCATAGAGCACAAGACTTATGAGCTCATTTATCAAGTGTAAATTGCATATCCAATGTACTCAACATTTGGCATAAAAACTATGAACATTAAAACATTCAAAGAGATTAAAAAACTCACACTACATGCACTTTCACAAGCACAAATGAAGTAGATCTGCAAACACGGATATAGGCGCTTTCTTTTGATTACCTCTTTTTTTCGATGAAGCCAAAGTCACCAATATTGACAATCCCAATTGCATTCCTCTGCAACACAATATTTGCAAGATTGTATCTCTTTGATTTATGAGACTTTAAAATCATCAAGGCTGTCATACTGCTTTCAGTATGATGACAATAGCATTCCCCTGCTCATCTCAGCTGGTATGCCCCTGTACTATGGTTAATTAAAAAAGACACCAAGCCTTTGTTTAATTCTAAAGGGAGTTAAAGGATAAATAAGCCGATGAAATTATAAATTTATAATACATAGTATATGACTATAGAACTTATGAAACTTCTCACTAATGAACAAACAAGAATACCACAAGTTTCAGATGTACTCAACAAAGTAAGATTAAATATGTCAAAATGCACAAGTAAAGTTTCAATAATTCCACATAAAAGACAATACAATCAAAGAAAAAATAATAATTATTTTCATATGAAGTCACCTAATTTGAGAATGTAAGAAGGCATCAATATTCAATATCAGGAAAATTACCGAGATACTCACCTGAGTTTTGTAAAGCAACCAAAATGAACTACCAAATACTATATGCATCAATATTCACATGAGTTTTGTAAAGCAATCAAAATGAACTACCAAATACTACGGACGGTGACTAATTGACTATTAGCGACGAGTTTTACTCCTCTCCCATCTCCTTATCCAGTTTTGGCGACCGAACCTCCGACATGAGTGATCGATCATCGTGGTATCCACAGGGACCCAACCTGATAGAAGCAGGTCATCTCATCCACAGCTCGATTGCTGTAGAGGCGTGAGCTATGAGGTCACGAAGACGCAGAGGGATCACATCAGGCGGGGTTCCTCTGTAATATTAAGTCAGAGGTATTCAGGTAGATGGCGGTCAAATTAGAAAGAATTGAACTACCTTTTGCTTGATTTTGTTCGTCATCAAGGAGTCTAGGCTAGCAGTCGGTGAGCAGGGCTATGATGTTTTCGGGATAAGAGGCGACCTCTGAGTTGGTGGGATGACTAGCAGTTGTGTCAGGTTGGGAAGTCGAAGGATTTGATAGAGGCTAGAGCCGGAGGATCGAAGATCGAAGAAACGAGAGAATAACGGGGGCGAAAGGTCTGAAAATCATGGCCGCGAGTTGGAAGAGAAGAATATGAGAGGAGGAGATGTTTTCGGTTGGATCTGGAGGGCGATCGATATGGAGGAGTCGGCAAAATAGTCCAAAAGTGAAATAAAAACTCAAAACTGAAAATAGAAAAGTTTAAAAATGAAAAGAAAAAATAGTGGTGATATAAATGATATGTTACACTCCAATTGGGACGGGTAATTTGCACTAAAAACTAAAGAGAATGTCATTACGTTTTTTTTGTATTACTAGCTCATCTAAAACTGATTAGGAAAACCAACATTTTTGGACTAACCAACGTTATCCTTTCTATTAACATTTAATTCAATTTTAATAATTACTCCGTAAAATTTACATATTCGGGAACTAAAGTTAAATTTGTATAATGTTTTTTATGACCAAAAATTTGTATAATGTTACAAAATTCAAATTTGAATATCATTAAATTTTGATATCCTAATTAACTGCATAAGAATGATAAGATGAATCCGTTTATTTGCAAATCAAGGTAATCAAAATTACCCTATCAAAAATACTTGATAGGGTGTATTGTTCTACTCCGTATCTAATTGTAATCAAAATTACTCCCTATATTCTATACTACTCATTAATCATTCTAACTGGATAAGATTTACATATCATGCATCCATTCTTTTTGTCTGTGAATAGGCTATTCATATATAAAATGGTCTTTTCCATAAGATTGGTACTGCTAATGACAAGAATGATGCCAAAGTAATTAAGAGAGCAATGACATAATGAATTTTTTGGCACGTCAATTATATAACATTATATATACTCTCTAGCTTTCTTGTTATATTCATTAATCCACTTTCCATTTTTAATTTTCACTCCAATGGTTAACTATAATGAACAATTTGTGGCAAATTAATTAAAGATGAGATTTAACCCTTCAAAAGATCCAATAAAATTCAAAGAATAATAAATAGGTAGATTCTATGGTACGCACAAGGTATCATACTTTTGTCCACATAGACCAATGATAATATTGCAGTTGAATTATTTAAATCTAAATTAAAAATGATAAAATGATGTGGTCTAATCAAATGAATGGTAGATACTATCCCAATTTTTAAAAGGCTGCCCGAGTTATCACCGGATGTTGACAAGTATGGTGAAGATATAATCCAAATAGAAGGATATTTTAATGGGGTTATAGATCCACCGAAGTGGGTAGCCTTAACCGGATGTGTGGTAACAAGAAAAGCCCGAAAGCTAGTCCCGTCCCTGTCAGGGGAGATGCCAACCATCTCTCCTTTCTACGAACACATAGAAGGATATTAAAATAAAAATAACGAATCTAATAAAAATAACTAATGATGGAAATGGCAATTTCGCCATTTTCCCCTTAAACCCACTAGACTTAAATACTAGCAAGTATAAATACAAATATACAATGAATGAATCCAGTTGACATATTTTGACTCTTGTGATCTTGTCTAATCATCATCTTATCCACCACATGCATTCATCTCGCCGTCTGGAGAAGAAATCGAAGACGATGACGTCATCCTGAAGTTGACCAAGGGGTGGGCCCGTTGTCTTGACGTGGCTCCGGCAAAGAGGACACGTCATACGGCCAGTTCCAAGCCACCTATCCAAACAAGCCACGTGGAAAACATGTTGACACCTCAGCTCCCTCACCTCCTCTCCGTCTTCTATCCCACACAAACAAATCGGGCATTCCGGCGGCTCCGTCTCTCCGCCGGATCTCCCCTCGAAAACCCTTACGCCGAGCCCAGACGCAGCGTTCTCCGTCGAATGTCCGGCGACGGATGAGCGGCTGAATTTGTAGGGGGAGGCGGGTGCATGGCAGATGGAGTGTAAGAGGAGACAATCCCAAGACAGTTTCAGCTGTGTCGCTGTTGAAACGACGTGGTTTAGGATGACCGACCTCGGAAACGTCCGGAGAATCTTCTTGAATATGCATGCGAAGATTCCGAGGAGGACAATGAGGAAGAAAGCATGAGACGAAGCAGATCTCATTTTCCTTAAATTGCTTTTTTCCGTAGAGAGTTTAGCTGAAGAGGACTTGAAGAGTTGAAGTATTACTTCTCAGATTTATACACTACAGTGGCCCCACTCCTATATTCTTTTGTGTTCAGTTCAAACTTTATGTGCTATTGACTCTTTTTTCGCACTGATAATCAGAAATGGTTGGCGTATCTATTTTTGGGTTCATTTTGAGTTTGTATGTATAAGCAGTATGTCTGTCTCTAGAGAAAATCTATATAGCACCCAAACTCTTGGAAAAGAATAAGTTTTTCAAAAACTCGTTAAAACTCTCCAAATAAGCGTTTTTTGAGAAAAGTTAGGGAGTTTTTACGACTGCTTCTACTTAAAATGATTTTTAAAGTGATTTTGGAGAAAGTACTTAATAGTAAAAGTTGGTAGTGTTTGAAAAAAATTAATTCTGAAAAAGTAAAAGTTGTCAGTGTTTGGTAAAATAAGTAATTTTTGTTTAATAGAAAAAGTGAAAAGCAATTTAAAGCTATGTTGTAAAACCGGACCGGTGAGCGACCCGGTCATGTGACTGGGTCACGGGTCAACCCGGACCCGGAGGGTCAACCCGGTCAAAGCCGGAAAACCGGTCAACGATTATACGTCTATATAATAATAAACATATAATTATATACACTCTCATTATATATTTTTATTTGTATTGTACATTTATATTATAATTTGGCATGATTTTCATTCTTAAATAAATATATAAATATATTACACAGTTTTTCTTTTTAGGGAATTGAAATTGCGATTTTATTGGTTTAAAAAATGCATTAAAATTAAAAAAGAAATTACTTTTTTTTTTGAAAAGACCGAAAACCGGGTTTTTCGGGTTTCTTGGGTCAGGTCCGGATCGGATTTTTTCGGGTCAGCCGGGTTTTTCCGGTTTTTGACCATTTTCGGATTTTGAAGAAACCGAACCGGATTTTTGTCCGGGTCACCGCGTTCCGGGTCAACCCGGCCGGGTTGGGTCGGTTTTTTAAACATAGATTTAAAGCAGCATTTCATCCGCTTTCAGTTTTTAGCTTTTAAGTGATTAATCTAAGCAGAATACACACATAACTTGAAGAGGGCAGAAGGGCCGGGGATGTACGCCATCTCTAATCGGGCGCCGCGGCAGGGGTTTGAGGCAGTATTGCCAATCTGCTCTGGTTGGTCTCGGCAACAGAGGGATGTTATTTATGGATCCAGACTGAAGCTTCAGATTTCACAGCAGCGAAATTTCAGAGGAGAAAACCCTATAGGTCGACGAACTCAGTTCGGTCAGATTTCAGAGGGATTGAGCTCAGGAAAGTACAGAGTGCCATCTTCTACAACGGGATGGTACTGCAGAGGGCTGACTTCGCCTCGATCTGCCTGGAATCCACGACACGGGTGTCGCATTGACATGCAATCGATGGAATTTAGACGACAAACTCCTCTGCGGAAGAGAAATTAATAGAGAAAGGTTGGAGAATTACCTCAGTTCCGGCAAGGGAGAGACCGAAGTTATTCAGGCGATTTCCAGAAGATTGAAGTACCGGCAAGGGATGATTCTCCGTATGAAGCTGCAAATAGGTGGAGATTTGGAAAATTTGGCAGAGGTGGATCACCCTCCTTTGTGAGAATTGAAAGTAAAATACTCCGTATTTGATTTTGGTGTGGAATCCTCAGGTATCCGTATAAGGGGTGTTTGGATCTGATTCTCAAAACTGATTCTGCTCCTTCAGGGAGCATGAGCATAAGCTGTTTTTGAAGTGTTTGAGTGAAATTCCAGAAGCATTTTTGGTGCTCTAATTTACTCTCAGAATCAGTTTTTTCAGAAGTTGGGGGGTACCAGCTTCTGAAAACTGATTCTGATTCTGCTTCTGTTTAAAAAAAAAGCAGAAGCAGAATCAGATCCAAACACCCCTAAGTCAAATGAAGAACGATCAATTTCGATCTATTTCACTAAATGAAGAGTGCTTCACTTGGTTTTGTAAATCTTTTGGTCAAATTCTATCGGGGTCTTCTTGGACTTTTACAAGATATGAAAAATTCCAGAAAAATTCATTTGTCTTTTGATAAAAATCGACATCGAAGGTTTATCCGTTTGGTAGATATTGGAATTCAGGGCAAAACTACTTTGATTATTCCTGAAGGTTGGAAAGGAGATGGATTCCCGAATAATTCGGGTATTATACCTTTTAAAAATTGCTTCATCCTGCTATACTTTCATTTGGATAGACAATAGATGATTCATCTTACCATTTTTACATTCTTTCAACAATGCACTCCTTAATTGGACAGGCGAGATTTCATTTTACATTTCACATTAATTATTTTCCATTATACCCTTTTTTTGGGCTGGAATTTTCTCTTCAGTTATTGCCCCAACTCTGTTACTTTATATTGGCCGTGTTTGGGAAACGACGGATCATCCGTTTTGACGTTTCAATAGGACAACAGATATGTTGCATTTTGATTTTGGTCAAAACCGCTAAATGAGGTGTTCTGTAGATAGTGGAGGGGAGTCACATTTTTGTTCCAAAACGTCAAATCTCAACACACGGTTGGTTGGAGCAACGTTTGAGTTTGGCCGTTTTGCTTAATCTGCACAAGAGTTTGCCTAGCCCTTAGATCGGTGGAGAACTGGAGGCTGCAATATTGTTGATGCGCTTAGCGAAAGATCCGGTGAAGGTTGTGGGAGATGTATGAAAAATTGTTATCTACATGTTCTCACACCCACGCAGAAGAAGATTAGATGAATTTGTACCTGTTCGGATAAGAAATGAAGAAGTTTCATTGCATAGAGTTAGAGAGGTAATCGAACGCAAATGTTGCGGCAAACGCAAATGTTGCGGCACTAGTGGATGGATTTGATCTAGTCAGATGCCTTATTATTTTTGGTCATTTCATTTTTTTTGTGTTGGTCTTTTACAAGTATAGGCAGTCTGATTTTTTTTTGTTCGGAGATATTTTTTCACTGCCTCCGTCCCAAACTGTTTTGCAAAGTCAACATTTTTTTTGTCAACCAATGTTAAAGTTAAATTTCTACAATAGTGAAAAATCCAATTAAATTTAATTAAGAATTGACATCCTAATTAAGTGGTTAAAAATGAGTCATTTTGATCCAAAAAAAGTCAAATTGCAATTCAATTTGGGACGAAGGGAGTATGTGTTTAGAGATATTTTTTAGTTGACGCCTTGACGGTGTTTGAGAGGTATCTAAATTCTGATGCAACCAATTATATGTCCTTATATGTAACTTAACTAGAAAAAACTATGTCCAAACACTTAAAAAAAGCGCTTCTCGGTTTTTGGCATAAAAATCTAAAAAAAAAGTGTTTTCAAGTGACAACTTCTACTTAAAAAAATGGCTTCTCGATGTTTGGCTGAAAAAAGTGTTTTTTACCTTTTCTATTACACAAAAAGCACTTATTTTACCAAACACTATCAACTCTTACTTTTCAAACTTACTTGTTTCTCAAACACTATTCACTTTTACTACTGAACACTTTTTCAACATCATTTTAAAAAGTGTTCTTTTTAAGCAAAAGCATTTCCAAACACTCCCTTAATCAGCTGGTCAAAACGCCAAACTGATAGGGTGAATTTCCTATTATGTATGTTTGTATTTTTAACTAGTTTTATTAGTTCTAGTTGTAGAAATTACACACTTTTGGTGTAATACTTTATTTTCATTAATATTTGTAATTTATTTAGATTAGGATTATATTGAGCTTAGGACAAGTCAAAATCATCCCAAGAATCAAAGGATGGATCCTAAAGACCAAAGAATGTGCAAAAAGGAAAAGATCAAATGAAGATTTTGAAATTTGTTAAATATTCGGTCGAGTATTGCCAATACTCGGTCGAGTATTGGCCTGATACGCTGGTCAAAATCAAATCTGGGAGCAAAAGAACGTGGACTGAAGATTTGATGAAAATCTTGTCTCATACTCGGTCGAGTATTGGCAATACTCGGTCGAGTATGCCTATTTTTCACAATTTCCTGGAAATTTCCTCTCATACTCGGTCCAGTATATCATCATACTCGGTCCAGTATCCCATATACTGGATCGAGTACAGAACCCTGCCACCTCCATTTTGCTATAAATACACCCCATTTGCTTCACATTAAGGGAACCAATTCACATATACTCTTTAACTCAGTTTAGATTGGTGTTTTCTTTATATTTTCTATCATGTTTAGTCTCCAAATGACGAGCTAAACTCTTACATATTGGTTTTGCTACTTTGAAGCTTAATGAATTTGTAAGTTGTGAGTTATTCTCTTTAATTTTCTTTTTTGAATATTAATTCTTCCTTTGAGTACTATTTCTATATCAATGTTGGGGAGTGTTACTAAGATGACAATTAGTTAACATCTTGACATTAGTTATAGTAATAGTTATTTCTTCCTCTATGTTAATATTGGGAAGTGTTACTAAGATGACAATTAGTTAACATTTTGATATTAACTATAGTAGGATTCCTCTTCTTTAATATTCTTCCTTGAGTATTAATTAATTCATATTCATATTTCATATTAATATTTTGAACATTACTTAAAGGATCAACTAGTTTTGTTTCATATATTAATTATTACTAGAATCGATCGACGAATACGCTTGTTAATCGTCCGATCGTTTCACGGTAGTAACTTGGGTTATTAATGCATGCGATTCATGGTTAACAAACCAAGGGGAATTAATTATGTTGATTAAACCAATAAACCGCTTGTGTTGAGGTTATCAATCTCAATCGTTTTCATCTTGATTTTATTGCTACTATCGGGTTAATATACGGCGCGTGTTCTATATTAACTCGGTAGTAAGTTTTATTAATGAACGCGTCTCGTTATTAATAACTACCCTCGATGAACTGGAGTCTGGATATACTCCTCGATTGAGTATTCGAGAGGAAAATAGTTAAAGATTTAACCAGGATCGACGAACATTTCATTAAGTGGATAAAAGCAAAGCCAAGTCTTCATCTCTAATAAGTAAACCACATAAGTCGTTCATCTCCGTGTTTAATTAATTAAACCAAGTCAAACTAAAACCTCCCTTTTTGTTACTAGTTTTATAAAAAGAAAAGTATTTCTTTCCCTGTGGATACGAACCTTACTACACTATACTACGTATTAGTGTTGTATTGATTATTATTTTGAGTGCATACACGACAAAGTGCACGTCACAAACCAATTTGCTGGTCAAAATCACTAACACAACTCGCTAACAGCTAATCACTAACCGCGAATTACTAAACAAGCCCATTATATAAAGATGCGTATAACGGTATAAGTAAGAGTTAATTCCCTATCTAGGCGTAAAATACATCAAAATTGCAAAAATAGGACTTCAATAATTCTTATAGTTTCGTAGGAGTAAAAGAGAATGAGTTGACAAATGTACCTTTAATGAGTACAATAATTAATTATTACGAATATACTAGGGTCAGCACACAAAAATGAATTGTCCAATGTTTTTTGCCTGCACCACCACCCAGCACCTGCACCAGTCGCCATCGGCCGCCTCCAGTCACTGCCGTACACCACCGTCAGTCACCACTGGCCGCCGCCGGTCACCGCTGGCCACCGCCAGTCACCGTAATCTCCGTCGTCATTGCTGCTCCAGCGGTGTCACAGTTGTCAGGTGCCTCTGCCGTTACTACCGGTCGTCGGCGCCACCATCTGCATCACCGCCGCACCACCTCAACCACCACCACCTTTGGCTCAACCACCTTTGGCTGGACCACCACCATCACATATTTCAGATCTGAAAAAATGTATTAAAATGTCATCTACCTATTTGAGTACCTTTTTAATGAGATTTATATAAAAATAGAGGACAAGAATTTTGTGCCATTTTGACATTTTCATGGTATTATAAATATTTGATTTACGAGGAAATAATTTTGTCATCTCTACAGAGTTAGTGTCATAAAAATGGCACTATGTGCAGAAATAACACTTTTATACATGAAAAAATATGGCATTAATAATATTGTTTTTGCCCAGAAATAACATTTTTATACATGAAAAAACATGGCATTATAGGTAATGTTTTTGCCATGTGGATGGAATTAATGTCATAACAATGGCATTAATGTCAAAAAATGGCATTAGTGTGGATGGAATTAATGTCATAAAAATGGCATTAATGTCATAAAAAAGCAGAAAATTAATTTTGCCATGTGGATGAAATTAATGTCATAAAAATGGCATTAATGTCAAAAATAATAGCCATATAAAAAAGTAGAAAATTATGGCATTAATAGTATTGTTTTTGCAAAGGAGTAATATTTTCGTTTTAATGCCATAAAAACTAGCAGTTATGGAAATTTAAATCAAAAAATTAATTTGAAGTCAGAAAAATTTAATTGACATGATCGAATGAAAAAAATTACTCCGTATTAAAAAGTTAAAAGAACAAAAGCTGAAAGAAACAATCAAAGAAAAAAGGTGAAGAAACCAAGAAAAAATCTAGATAAGTTCTATTCG